ACTTATATTAAGGATTTTTTATTTTCCTTCTAATATCCAAATTTTCTAGAGAATTTAATAGAAAAATAACAAATCTTTTGTAACAATTTAATAATTATCTCGTCATGCAATTACACTGGTTTACAAAAGAAGTAAACTCGTTTGTCACATAAACTAAATTATATTATCTTCACACATAATATATTTTACGCCAGTGCAGATAGATCTTTTTCTATCACCCAAGGTTTTCCAGTGATGCGACTTTTAACTTTGAAGAAAATTGATTTTTTATATATACAGGGTGGCTCACTTAAATCGAACATTTTGAATATTTCACTTATTTTTGATGATACAGAAAAATGTTTCTAATGAAAGTGGAAGGGTGTCAAGGGGGACACATTTTGGTCACGTTGCTCTTTTTCTAGGTGGAGGCGCTAAAAAGATACGAAAGTCACCTTCACTTTTTTAAATGGAATAATGATTTTTTTATAAATATGATTCCTCTATTTATTTTATATATAAAAATACTAAGAAGTATAATTGTCGAAAAATCAATTCCATTTAAAAAAGTAAAGATGATCCTCATATCTTTTTAGCACCTCCACCTAGAAAAAAACAACGTGACGAAAATATGTCTCCCTCGATATCCTTCCATCTAAATCATTTTTCCGTATCATCAAAAATAAGTGAAATATTTAAGATGTTCCATTTAAGTGGACCACCCTGTATACAGACATAGCTTATCTAATTTAAAATGTAGAAGCTAATGATTTCCTGTCATATTTGTCTTGCGGTATATCTCTTTTAAAAATAAAAATGTGCCAGTTTTTATCTTATCTAATTAGAAAAAAACAGCATGAAAAGAGAAGAATTGTTAATCTTAATGAATTTTGATAGACAAATATATTTTAATGCTTAAATTGAAGAGCTTTTATGGAAAATAGTGATGTGGTATCTCAATATAAAAATCTTAGAATTAAATTGAATTTCGAATTGCGCGATCTGTCTAGTAGAAAATATATTAAATCTCAGATAACCGTGACGAAAAACTATGGATGATGGAAAAATCCTGAGTTCATGTTCGGATTCTATGCGGAGAAAATATTATAATAAAAATTACAACAAAATTTGGAATGTGTATAATTATAACTGAAATTTCTATACATTTCTTTAAAAATATTATACACATTTAACTTTTTACTACAAAATTATTGTAATCCCTTGAATATTTTCTATATCGTAATTATTGTAATCCCTTGAATATTTTCTACATCGTATATGTGGTGTATACATCGTCAAATTTACTATTTTTGTAATAATTTATATTGCAATTTCAGTAGAGAGTCCATATTTTCAAACTGTAAAAAGAAATAACTTTTACTAAAATATTTTCTCCGTGTACACATAAGAATATATGAGAAACACATGAGAAACTCCACGGAATAAATTGTCTGCTGAGGCCAGTATTACAGTCACAAATAGCAAATAAAACTTCCAAGTATTCAGGTAACTTTCAGGGTATTTGGTTGAACGTGAGGCATGTACAATCTCATTATTCTTGATGAGGCAGACTAAAAACCCAGTGATCTACTTTCGCAAGCTAATATATCAATCTAATGCTTCGTCCTTATATTTTAGCCGTGCTTCTGTCCTTATATTTTAGCCGTGCTTCTGTCCTTATATTTTAGCCGCGAAAACGACTTCTATCGAGAAACAAACGAACGTCTGGGAAAAGGCGACGCCATTGGCATCGCGCATAAATCTCAAAGCGCAATAACATACGAACGCGTCGTCCCGACAAATAACGACGCGGATAACGGTGATTTATGCACTTTTGCGTATTCTTCGATCGATTGACCGAATGCGCGCGCGCGCGAGCTAAGTTGTTTTCGAATCGCTCGATCGGGGTTGCGTCCTTGGTCGCGTGCGGCTTCTCCTTGCTCATCGCGCGCGCGGCCCACATTTTTATCGACGGAACTGTTTATTTTTAGGGATATACGACAAAATACGGGCCGCCGTCGCGACAGTACTTCTTCACCACGCAAATCGAACAAACGCGGCAGCTTTCGGTAACGCGGCCGGGAATATCGAGATGCTTTATGTAGGACGCCTGGAATGTCGATTATCGACAGAGGCTCCCCGCGACGGAAGATCTCCCGATGAACTTCCGCGAGAATTCGCGGCGCATTCGGTATCCCTCCGAGTCCGAGGAGAATGGCGGGCGCGAAAAATATCACACGGAAAAAACAATATGGTTGTACCAACCAGATTCAATAGCAAAATATGGAACAACTATTTATGTGGTTGCTGTAACCAAAGAGCAATGGCTGAGTTACTTATGTTGCAGCAGTGATAATACATGGTTAATACAAACGCGGCTCATTACGCAGCAACTACGTGGAAAAAACAATATGGTTGATCCATACAGAAATCTGGCTGTGCCAACCAGATTCAATAGCAAAATACGGAACAACTATTTACGTGGTTGCTGTAACCAAAGAGCAATGGCTGAGTTACTTATGTTGCAGCAGTGATAATACATGGTTAATACAAACGCGGCTCATTACGCGGCAACTACATGGAAAAAACAATATGGTTGATCCATACAGAAATCTGGCTGTGCCAACCAGATTCAATAGTAAAATACGGAACAACTATTTATGTGGTTGCTGTAACCAAAGAGCAATGGCTGAGTTACTTATGTTGCAGCAGTAATAATACATGGTTAATACAAACGCGGCTCATTACGCGGCAACTATAAATGTATATTTATACACTCAGAACCAGTTTTCACATGTACTAGGTGCGCAACTAAGTTTCCGGGTTTTTTTGATCAATGAAAAATAGAAAATTTCAAGAGAAATACAAAAAATGGTTTATTCAAAGTATCGTCCCTCGCTAGTTACACATTTTGGCTATTTCTCTGGCAATACATGAATACCACGACGATAAAACGACGCGTCTTTGGACCGAAACCATTCATCCAACCAATTTTGCACTTCTTCGAAATTGGCCAAGTGTAGCCCAGCCAAGCCATGCGCCATCGACCGAAACAAGTGATAATCGGAAGGGGCCAGGTCTGGTGAATACGGCGGGTGCGGTAGCAGATCCCATTTCAGCGTTTTGATGGTGTCCTGGACGATGGAAGTGCGATGGCACGGAGCGTTGTCGTGCTGCAATATCACTCGTTCGTGTCTCGTGTCCCATTCTGGCCGTTTTTCGAGCAATGCATGGTTCAAATTGATCAGTTGTTGTCGGTAGCGATGCCCATTGACAGTTTCGCCCGGTTTCAGCAGCTCATAGTATACGATTCCTTTCTGGTCCCACCAAACGCAGAGCATTGTCTTCTTTCCGAAACGATTTGGCCGTGCCGTCGATGTTGATGCTTCGCCAGGTGAAAGCCACGATTTTTTACGTTTGGGATTCTCGAAATATATCCACTTTTCATCGCCATTAACAATTCGATGCAGGAAACTCTTTCTTTCGTGCCGCAAAAGCAACATTTCGGAAGTGGCTCTTCGATTTTCCATCTGTCTCTCAGTCAACTCTTGCGGCATCCATTTTCCTTCCTTTTGAATTTTTGCCATGGCATGTAAACGTTTGGAAATACCTTGGCGAGTCATGTTTAATGCCTTCGCAAGTTGATCTTGTGTTTGCGTATCATCTTCATCCAATAACGCTTGCAGATCGACGTCCTCAATTGTTTTTGGTCTTCCGGAGCGCTCCTTGTCCTTAGTGTCGAAATCTGAAGTGTCCACTTCTGAAGCGTTTAAACCAATCTTCACAGGTGGTTTTCGATGGTGCATGTTTGCCGTAGACCTCCTCAAGCAAACGACGTGCTTCAGCTGCATTTTTTTCAAGTTAAAGCAGAAAAGCAAAGCTTCCCGCAAATGCTGTTTATTCAGCACAAAACTCGACATCTTCATTGTTAGAAAAAATATTTTTGCGTTGCGACATGTGTTGGTATTATGACTGGTTATTGTTGACAGATGTCCAAGCTATAAAAGAAATACAACTTTAGACATGTGTGTCGACTACATGTGTCGTTAGCGCCATCCATGTGTGAAACCCGGAAACTTAGTTGCGCACCTAGTATACATCTTTAGCTGTGCGCGTAGTGAATTGCTTTTGTTTTCTAATATCGCTGCTTTGCAATATAGCATTGATTAATGCAACTATATCGATATTTAGCTTGTCTGTGCAAAATAATCCCCTTACTAATTTCTGATTGCCACAACCAGATCACGGGCAACTTCATTGATGTAGTTGACAAACCAAATTAAGTACCCAAATAGAAAAATGTGTTAATTCTGAGCTCATATTGTATTCACGTATCTTCAAGCATGAGGACAAGAATAGACACCGATGCGGGCTCATATGCGTCTCAGAATGTAAACATGTTATGATGTCACAAAAATACCTCATTTAATAATAATAATCAACATCATGTCAAGAATTTGCAACATAATTTGTACATCATTTGTATGCATCTGATGCTCATGTCATGAGATCACGTAATGATTTTTAAAAAAATATCAAGTTTGAATCATAGTATGAAGTCACATTGTGATGAAACATGTTCATCACGCATTTCTATCTGGATAAATCAAATCAACCATACACATAACTATTATACAAAGATATGTAGAATAATGCAGCTGTTTGCTCACAACTAAACATTTTTTGTTAGGTGTACCACATCTCTTTTTTCCGTGCACGATTACCCTCAAGACGAGTCGCGTGTCTGATTTGCATTCGTCCGCGAAACGTGACGTGTGCGATTCTCGTATCAGCATTCGCCAGCGATATCGGACATGGCCGACTGAGCGACACGTTGTCGCACACGTAGTCTTCCCGGGTCAACGTCCATGCCGCGCGTATGCCACGCGCGTTACGCAGAAATGGTAGACAGAAGTGACAGAGCGAAAACAAAGGGAGGATATACACACGACTCAGCGCGGAATGAGCAGGTCTGTCATGCGATAGGTCGATAAGTAAGCTCGCGTCTGTCTGCTTTCCAGCTGAATGAGGCTGATGGAACCCTTGGGTGTCGCTCAGGACATCGTGGAGCCGGCTGTGCTGAAACGATGGGCCGATTATCCCGTTCAACACCGGTACACGGACTACTCCGAGTCGATGAGAGAGACGGCGCATCACGCTATAAGCCCTTTCCCTTGTCAGCCGTCGCTTAACAACAAGCTCGCGCTATGGTGAGATCTTGAGCTTAGTCGTCGCTTTAAGGGGGGGAAACACGTTTCGAAGGTAAAATAACAAGTCGCTTTTTCGTCAACTTCTTTTCTACAAAAATTGTGAGAGACATTTATTTGAAGTTTTGTATAATATTATAAATCTAAACTGTGCACACAATTTCCAGAAGAGGATCCAAGCGTATATAATCCGTTGGTTCTTATGATTTCGCAGATCCCAGGAAAACAGAGAAACGAAAGATATTATTAATCGCTGTATAGCTATCGTTGTAACTAGAATAATAAACATCGAAACACTCTAAATTTTTAATTTGTAAAAATTTTGATGGAAAAATTTCCTAAAAAATTAACAGTTTTGCATAAAAAAAAAGAGAAAATTGTCATATTTTAATTTGTCTAGTTCTAACTGTGAAGAGAGATATGTCGTGAACACGTACCCATACAAGTTGATTAATTTATCTAAAATCATGGGTGCCAATTGCAAAAATATTATTTCGAGAAAAATACGTTTAAAGTTTGTACGATAAAGATAAATTTCAAGTACTTAAGTTTTACTCTAATTAACAATTCCAGATCCGTATAGGATTCTTTTTCAGAACTCATATAATTCATTTTAAGCTTTTCTGTTATTCTTGGCAACAGCTTGACTTAAATATATGTACACGTATGTCGAATATTATTATAAATTATGAGCTTTGCACCGCTGCTAAACAAAACGATCAACAATTTTAAAATTCATGTATAATGTCGATATATATTACTTTTTAATGTCTTTAATAATTTTTAATATATCATAGTAGTTTTTCATTAGGATTTTAATTTTAGAGTTTTACAAGAAATTAAAAATAAAAATTAAAAGTAGAACGCCAACCCCAAGGCACACGTATAAAAAGTGTAGCTTTAAAACTTTAGCTTCAAATATTTCAACTCTCGAATCTTTTTCTAATTGCATAAGCGATTAGATAATATTTCAATATAATTAATTCAATTAATTGTAGTGGAAATTTTAAATAATTTTTAACATACTCATTTTGCTTTACAATTTCTTTTATTTTATCTATATTCTGTAAATAATTATAAAAGCATTATTAAAAAAATCGCGTATTAGTCGATATTGCATCTAAAAATAACGCATATTGACGCAATTTGACAATAATTCAGAACTTGAATCAAAATCTATTGTTTGAAACGCCAATTCAGCAAACGTGATGATCAAATAACCTATTATGATATCAAAACCTATTATGATATATTTTACATTAGAGATTACATCATTAATACAATTTGACGTTGTCCTACTACACCTTATTTGGAAATATTTTTATCCACACTAAAAAAATTCTTATGATAAATTTAATACATTTCAATTTATGGTTCAATTTATCTACTATAACTTCTGTGTTAATTTAATAAACAAGGAAAATATGTTAATTAAAAATATAACAGAAAAATTTCTGCACGGATCAATTTTGATATAAATTTATATATCATTGTGATAAAAATCATTTTATAATGATTTTTACTGTGCGTTATACAATATATGATGTTGTATCTAGCGAAGAAAAGATAATTAAAAAATAATGACACAAACTTAATTTTGTGTGTATATATATATATATATATATATATATATATATATATATATATATATATATATATACACACGCGGTAAAAAAACATTTTGTATTTGTGTTGAAATTGATTCGTGAAGAAATTTTTGTGTTAAATTTAAAAAATTTTTAAGTATTAATTTAATATACTGTTGCATGTAATAAATTGTTTTATTATTTTGCGTTAAATTTATATTTACTATATAAAATATTAAAAAATAACAAAATTTATAAGTAAATAGAAGAGTTTTTGATGATATATTTTATATATAAAGTGTATACAGATAACTTGTGTTATTTGTTTAAATATTTATGTTGTATTAAACTAACATGAAATGATAATGATTCAGAACTAGGAGTGGATTAGAATTAGAGAGGACAAATTAAAGCAGATAAATTGGACATATAAAATGTATTAAATTTAACACAAAATCTTTGTGGTACTTGTGGTATAAAATCTTTATTTAAGTATTCAAAATAATATATGCAAAATTTTGTTGTAATTTAGAGTTTGTTTCTTCCGTAATTAATTAACTAATTAAAGTTGACTAGAATTAAGAATCATAAACATGCTCACAAACATGTTTACGACTCGAAATAACATACACATATATACATACATATATATATTTTTTTTTTTGTTTTATTTAATTCTTCAAGGCACACATTTACGTCCAAAATTTTTTATGAAATATATTTTAAGTCAATATTATAATAAAAAATAAAGTAAATAAACTATACAAATGTAGTGTTGAAGAAAAATATGTTATTATTCAACTCGTGTATATATTCCATACGTTTTTATATGAAAAATAGAAGTACTAATAACGTATTTTTAATTTCCAATAATTTTTTGCGGAATTATATAAGGATAATATTTCTTTGATCCTGTTTTCGCGCGAATTCAAAATGCCTCGGGGGTGTTGTTCTCCATTACAGGCTCTACGCTACTAGGCGGTGTTAACCGTAATATTGTGGTATAGTTACGCAATTCATGGTCGATGTATCGATTTGTTTCAGGACTGGAGATATTTCGATTTTACAAGTAGACGCGATAGTGAACTCCACCAACGAGACAATGGATGATAATAGTCCCATGTGCCAAAAAATGTTTAGCCGAGCTGGTACTGCGCTCAAAATAGAAATATATAACGATGTAAAAGGTATGTATGCATGAGGATGCGAGGTAACGTGGTCTATACTATGCAACAACGACACAGCCTGCTCTAATATTCTATTTGCCTATTGTAGAATGCAGAACTGGCGAAGTAAGAGTAACACAGGGTCACGGATTACCTGCTCGTTTTATTATTCATACTGTTGGACCAGTTTATAATGTGAAGTATCAAACAGCTGCGCAAAACACACTACATTGTTGCTACAGGTGACTCGAACGTGTCTAAATATATTGTATGCAAGAAGAAAAATTTAAGGTTTTGATACTAGAAAAAAAACATACTAAATATAAGCTCAAGCGAATACACGGAGAAAAAAACTAGAGAATATCTAAATTTAAAAAAATCTAAACTAAAGACAGAAGAATATCTAAACTAAAGAAAAGACTAAAGAATATCACTCGCGTAAATAATGGTTGCTATAACAAAATATTAATTAATATTAATATTTTGTAACGAAATATAATTATTTATTGAAACTTATTAATTATTTATTTATTGAAAATTATTAATTATTTATTTATTAATTATTTATTGACAAATTTTGATGAAATATAATTATTTTGTCCATGCATATTAGATGTGATTGTACTATTCTACTTTTTACTTTCTAAAAGTAGTATACTGACCTTTTCTGTTGTCTGTCCGTACGTGTTGAGTAATACTGTTAGTGATATGACGTAACCAAACCCTACGGATCTCTTAAATATAGTATTTGTTCTACAGACCACAATAGAAGGACAGCGATATTTCTTCGGTTGAGACAATTATATATATATATATATATGAGGATGTACTGACTGAATATTATGTATCATGAACTGTGACTGAGAGAACTGTATAGATGGGCATATAACAAGAGCAACTTTTTAATGACATATCTATTTGATTCGAAATCACATACTCCCTAATCATACAATATATAGATGTAACAATCACAGCAATTTTCTTCGTGTAACGATTTTAACCATGATAACCCGTGTCGCTCTGTCGCAGAAACGTCCTGCAAAAGGTGAAAGAAATGGGTTTGCGCACCATCGCCCTGCCGGTAATAAACTCGGTGCGAAGAAATTATCCTCCGGACGCAGGAGCTCACATAGCTCTCAGTGAGTACAGATGCGAGAGTGGATTTCAGCGTGCGAAGTTTCAGCACGACTCGCAGTACAGCGATGAATACTGAAAGATAATATACTCTTTCTTCGCAGGGACCGTCCGTAGATTCATGGAGCAATACAGTGACTCGTTAACGTGTATTATATTTGTATTGGAGCCGTGCGATCTCGGGATATACGAGGTGCTTCTGCCGCTTTATTTCCCGCGAAACCTGGCGGAGCAGGATAACGCTTGTTGGCAGTTACCGAGCGACATCGGCGGCCCTGACGGGGAACCTTTACTTCCGGATAGGCAAATTAGAATTATTGACAATCCTCAGCACGCTTTGCACGGTAACGTGGTTACGCTCTCACGCGAATTTGCGCGTGCTTCAAGCAGCATTCTTTTTAAGTATCCGTTCACAATTTTAGGCGACGAAACGGTAGAACTCTCGGCGCAACTAGAGACCTCAGTGAATATCGGCGAGCACGCTTTCGCGCAGATGCAAGGTGACTTGGACCGTCAGAGACTTCTGGGCGAAAGACCCCCTGCCGATCCGTTGGCGGACATAATGTTCAAGCAAATGCAGCAAAAAGAAAGGTAAGAGAGAGAGGAATTTACGATATCGAACCTGATGATCTCGGCGAGAATATTCAGACTAACACTTACGTTGAAGTTTCTGCAGAAGATCGGAAAATATTAACGTTAGAACTTCTGAGGAAAGTAAGATAATATTTATATTAGGATTTCTGCGGAAGATCAGATAATATTAATATTAGAATGTTTGCGGCAGATTAGATAATATTTATATTAGAATTTCTGTGAAAGATCAGGCGATATTAAAGTTAAAATTTCTGCGGTAGATCAACGACATTTACATTTGAATTTTTTTAAAAAATCAGATATTTATATATTAGAATTTCTGCGTAAATCAGTCTCGTAATATTTACGTTAAAATTTCTACGGAAGATTAGACGATATTTTTATAGAATCCCTGCAAAAGGATAGACGATATTTGTATTAGAATTTCTGCGAAAAATTAAATATTATTAACGTTAGAATTTCTGTGGAAGATCGACTTTATTGTTGCTGATGAATATACAAGTACATTGAAAATAAAGTCCACGACCTAATCAAAAATTAAAAAATGAATATATATTCCGATCAAATTTTCTGATCAACTTCTGATCGGAAAATCCCAAAAACAATTGAATATATTTGATATAAACTTGAACAAAATATCTATTTGTTAATTTTTTATTAAATCGTGGATATTTCTTTGTACACGGACTTCACCGTGAACGAGTTAGCTCCAAAAGGGAAGCATTGATTTTTAGGAATATTAATAATCATTACTTGAAACTTGTCCCATGTGAGATACTCAGATTTGAATTTAGAGTTAGATTTGAGTCTCTCTATTTAAAGAATATGAAATATATGATATAATATTTGTAATTCAGCGGAAAAACTCACGTTTAATTCTAAATTCAAATCTAAGTATCTCATCTGCAGTGAGATTTTGTAACTCATTACAAAATCTAGTAAACACCAAATAACATTAATATAATTAATAAATTTACCTAATAAACATTAAGTAATATTAATATAACATCAATGTTACAACTTCCTATTTAACAATATAACTATATTGTTATATAACTGTTATATAACGCATGTGTTATATAACAGTTATATTGTTGAATGGGAAATTATAACACTGATTATATTACTGTTACTTGATGTTTACTGGGTAGTGATATTGTCGTTTTAACGACAGTTACAATATCGCACCCCTAAAGCAAATTTCAAGTAACAACTATTAATACTTTAGACTTTTACGTTCTGCCAATCATTGAAATCCTCTCACTGAGAAGTTTCTAGACTTTTCACATGTTGTATTCCGGTCGCGTTCAGTTATTCACTGTCAATATAGATAGCAACTTTCCATGTTCGCTCGACGTCCCGTGAGAAGAACAAACTGCCGTGCTACCGGTATTGGCAGTGAATAATAGAACGCTACTTGTGCACTCTGTTATCCTCTTTGCACTTTCCCAGTCTTTCTCTTTCTCTGCTTTATCTACGCGACACACGCGATGATAAAATATGTATTCGTACAGAGTAGTTACCTTTTTTACCGAAGAAGATGTCGCGTGTCTCACGTGGCACATGTCGACAGATTTCTTCCATGCCGACGAACATCGATGTGCAAACACAGACTTCTATATACTACTAGAATGTTAACTTCTTAGCTGAGGCAAAATGACCATTTTTGTTAAGGCATTCCATATATTCACACATTGAATTTTATCTTAACAAAGATGCCACTATTCACATATGTGAAAATTTTTCTTCACTTTTCTACAGGCCGATTGTAAGGAATTAGCAGTCTAACAGTACATAGAAGTCCGTGCAAACGTCCCGCTTTACGTGTGAATGAATAAAACAAAGTACGGAATTTCCAACAACAGAAGCGAATGCAACTGGACGGGGCTTTAACCGCCTGTAGAAGCTGAAGATATATTTTTAATAACTTAATGAAAACTAACAAAGACGCGCGTATCGATTCTCTTGCGACGTATTCCCGCACGTGATCGGATATAGACGAACTATAAGTCTACACGTACTCGCTATTCGTACTCGACTTAATAACTTAGGTAATCTCATTTAGTTTCTATCGACGTTATGCTTCACTAACTACTGACACTAAACTCTTTTTCGTAATGAAAGAAGCGGAACAACATCTAAACTGACGTTGTACACAGAGGAAAATATCATTTTATTATTAAGAAAAGCGACCACTCAGTTTACTTCCCTTCTTTTAAATAATAGTTATCTTCAACAAAGGATATTTTTTTATAAATTATCTTTATCTTGTCGAAGAAAAGGCTGGTTTGACTCTACCCAGACAGCACAAGATCTTCAAGGAATATCTTAGGAACTTATGCGAATATTTATTCCTTAGGATGTTTTTGGGATGTCTTTGAAAGATTATGCTGTCTGGGTATGCAGTAAGCAAATCGAATTTTTCTTTTAATTTAATATTTTTGAAATGCTAAACTTTAGCATTTATTACTTTTATTATAATTGAAATGCTAAACTTACTAGAATTCAAGATATATTTTGCGTAACTATGATGTGCTTATATATGCGATAGATTTGCGGATATATAAACTTATAAAATACTTGAAACAAGTAACATTTACTTGAATGTAATATATATTTTTGTATGTATGATTTCAATGATTGATTGTTTATTCCTGTATTGTTATATTTAACTAACGGAATCAACAAATTCTCTTTAAATTCGTAGAAAGCCAAGCAAAATTTATATGAAACCTCTCACCATTTATCTAATCAGTAATAATAACACATATCCACCGTAAAAAGAACAATTAGATCAAATAGATTATGACACATCTAGGTATGTCCGACGAAAGAGAAATGATGTCATATCAGCAAGGCCATTTATCGATCCCCATATGACGTCTGTACAAGCTTTGCCTCGCAATATTTGTTCCTAATTAATTTCAGGACCGAAATATCTGCCTGCGTCACGGAAATAAATCATTCGCGCGAAGCGCTGACATTTTCCGTCGCATTAGATATTTATTTCCAAGACTGAAATCGTGATCGACGTCATTTCCCCGTGACGAGACTGTTTTATTGTGATGAGGCAAAAGACCCAACTGTGGTTAAAACCATTGATTACACGTGCGATAGTGACTCATAACATGAGTCTCTCTTTCGAGTTCGAACTTTGACTGTTTGTTGTTTTAATGAAACAGAGCGAGATAATTCGGTTTTCTTGCGATTAAATATTAATAACGTATTACGAGTAATATCCGAACAAGTATAATTCTGCGAAAAAAATAATAAAAAAATAATATAAAATAATATAAAATTAAATTAAAAAATTACATACAAGTATGTACAATTACATACAATTACACATGATTTTTTTCCATATGGCCAAAATAATCATACGTGATTATATAGTTCACACTATAAAAAATACTGTTGTACAAATATAACGAAAGTAACTGCTTATATTTGTAACAGCCCGCGATGTCGACGTTTAATCGTATGAAATTATTTCCTCTTTTCTCTATTCAACAGTATTTCTTTCTCCGTATGAATATATATAATTACATATGAGTATTTCGATGCATTAAACTTCACAGATGTGTTGATTTTTTTAGAAACAAACAAAACATAGGAGGTCTGCATTCTTTATTACAAAGTTATCTATGCATTAGATAAGACACAGATGTGTTAAGTGCCAATAAAAACTTTCCAAGGAAAGCATTTCAATGTTTATAATGTTATAATAAGGAATGTAGATCACGTTTTTTCTGTTTTTTTTTTTAAGTTGTTTTACATCTGTGAAGTAATGTATCGATATATGAGACCATATACACAGAGAGAACAATTTGATTGAATCGAATAAACACTTCTTTGGAATAGTCTTTGGAAACGAATTTTTTGATTGATCAAACAAAATTTTGTTTGACGCAACAAAAATATTTATTTGTGGCTTAGTTTCAAAGAAATATTTTTGTTGCGTTAACCAAATAATTTGTTTAGACTATTCCAAAGAAAGATTTATTTAATTCACTAAATCGTTCTTTCTATATATATATAGAAACAAAATTCATGTATAGGTAATATACAAGGTAGACATTCGCCATCGTGTGCTTATATATTGGATCAAACTGAACAAATAACTATATAGATTTTTCATTATTAATTAAAGAGGATTGGTGCATATCACGGATAATCATCACCAACTTTCTTAAATTAATTACATTAATTAAATAAATAATTACTTAATAAATAATTACTTAAATTAATTAAATTAATTACTTAAATTAATTACTAAAAATCTACGTAGACATTTGCAAAATAATACAAGACTTTTTTGTTTAATTTGATCTAAAATATAAATATATAACAGCAAACGTCGCCATCACAGCTTATCTACGTATGTATCGCCCGTGATCATTCATCAGTTTTCTTTGGTTAATAATTCAAAATTTTATATGTTTGTTTGCGAAATGATAAGAAGAATTTTGTGTTTAATTTAATGAGTTCTACCTATACACCGCGATTGAATAATGAATTGTCAAACATCCTCTTTATTATTATACATATATATATATATATATATATATATATATATATATATATATATAT